CCGTAAATACTTTGGTTTGGTTTAGCTAATATTACAAAACTAAAAATCGATAAATCGAACCGTACTTTCATACTAACCAACCGATCGACCGACGCCCACCCCTAACTCTAAGTTCAGGACTAAGGCCTCATTTGTTTTTTTAAGATTAAGACATCTGAATCTGAATACATATTCGAATATCAAGATGTGTATTAAGATCTGAATACTAAATGATTGAGATTGTTTGATTTTTAACATATGAATGTATAGAATTTATCTTTATTTGAAAATTAATAAACATAAAATTCAAATAAAATACTAATTAATCTAATATTCTATGGTATTTATTGATGGTGATAGCTAATAGTGGTGCTTGTGAATTCTGACTAGAGGCGGTAGTTGGTGGTAGTTTTGGTTGATGGTGGTGGTTCAGGGTAGTTGCTAGTGGTAATTGGTAGTGGTGGCTATTATGATTGGGGATGATGGTGGTGGATGGTGATAGTTAGTTATGGAGGGTGGTGGTGGTAGTTGTGATTGAGGAAGGCGGTGGTGGGTAGTGGTAGTTTATAATGATGGGCAGTGCCGGCTATGATTGTTAATGGTAATGGGGTGGTTAGTTGTGGTAGTTGAGGTAGATAAGTATTGGCTGTGGTTGAAAATGATGGTGTGTTAGAGTGGTGGGGATGGTGGTTCGTGGTAGTCGATAATGGCGGCTATGATTGAGGATGATGATAACGGTGGTGGTGGTTGAGCATGGTGGCGTTGGGTGGCATGGTGGTAGTTGATAATGGTTGGCGGTGGAGGCAGTTAATAGTGAATGTAAATGATAATATCTTAATGAAATTAAGTCTATGTTATAGATCTTAATCATACAGACCTATTCAGACCCATTAAGTAGTTGAAAGTAAAAAAAAACAAACACACTTAATGATCAAGATCTGAATAATTAAGATTCAGACTTTAAAAATAAATATACTTAATGTCTGAGATCTGAATAATTAAAATTCAGACCTTCATTAAGTACAAACAAATGAGGCCTAATTGTCTTTAATTTTTGAACTTCCAACTCTAATTTTTGAACAAACTGATATTTATGCTAAGTATAATGGTGTGAGAAAGAATCCATACAAATTATACAATCAAAAAATCAATAGCAAAATGTTCTTCCTTGAGCTTTCAGATAATAACTATGTACTTGACGATAAAGTTTGATAATTTAAAGGTATTTCATTCCTTCTTCTTAATTTATTATTTTTTAATTATTTATGACTAATGGAGTATTTTTCCTTTTTATGAAGCACATTGACATTGCCTTGTATTATTTGAGAAAGAAGGAAAGCTACCACCCTTGCGCCCATCCATTCTATTGCACAACTACATATATAGTTTTTGATAACTATGTGCTTCTTGTGGATGAGGATTTCAATGAAGATGCTTCAAATGAGTTATGGTGTGATGAAAATCAATTGTATCTCACATCGTATGTGTATCGATCCGGCCTATCGTTTTGAGTGTTGTAGCTCTGTTTCCCCATTTACTACTCATTTTATGCCTATTAGTTGCTATGTGACTTGCCGGGGTAGTTGGATCAGTTCCGGGGATGTTTCGAAATGAGTTGAGACACTTAATCTCAAGGTTGGAAGCTTAAGTTAGAAAGATTGATTGTATGTTGACTTGTATGTAAATGGCTCCGAAATGGAGTTTTGATGGTTCTGATAGCTCCATTGGGTGATTTTGGACTTAGGAGTGTGTCCGGATAGTGATTTGGAGGTCCGTAGTTGATTTAGGCTTGAAATGGCGGAAGTTGGAAAATTGGAAGTTTTGGAGATTGAGAAGTTTGCCCCAGAGTTGACTTTGTGGTTACCGAGCTCGGATTTTGGTTTTGGGAGTTGGAGTAGGTCGGTTGTGTCATTTATGACTTGTGTGCAATATTTGAGGTCAATCAGACTTGACTTGTTAGGTTTCAACATCGATTGTAGAAGTTAGAATTTCTTAGTTTTAATTAGGCTTGAATTGGGGTGCGATTCATGTTTTTGATGTTGTTTGATGTGATTTGTGGGCTAGACTAAGTTCGTTTCATGTTTTAGAACTTGTTGCTGTATTTGGTTGAGGTCTCAGGGGCCTCAGGTGGAGTTTGTATGATTATCGGATCGAAAATGAGACTTAGAGCATTACTGAAGCTTGGAGCCTTCTGGTGTAATCACACCTGCTAAAGGATTAGCTGCAGGTGCGATGCCGCAGGTGTGGCTGATGTAGCGCAGAAGCGGAGCTGGCCTAGCCTGGGGTGTGACGCAGGTGCGAGGGGTTTTCCGCATCTGCAAGCCCGCAGGTGCGAGCAAGGCTCCGTAGATATGGAGAAGGGGAGAGTAGGTTGTCTTTGCAGAAGCGGATCGAGGGTCGCATGAGCGCTTCCACAGGTGCGGAGGTTGGAGCGCAGGTGCGGACCCTGTAGACTTAAGTAACTTCTGCAGAAGCGAAACTCTTATCGCAAAATTGATTCCGTAGGTGCGGATATTTGGCCCGCAGGTGCGAAGGCACTGGGCAGAACATTAAATTTGAAGGTTTCGTGATTTTTCTCATTTTGGACTTTGCAAACTCGGTCTAAGGCGATGTTTGAGAGGATTTTCGAGGGGTTTCTTGAGGTAAGTCACTTATGATCATTTTTATTCAATAATCTTGTTTCCCCACTGAATTTCCCACCTAGTTTGTGTGTTTTTGAGGTGGAATTTGGGTAGTTTGAGGCTAGGGATTTAAAGAGTTTAATTTGGGGATTTAAGTGGTGATTTGGTATCGAAATTTGGTAAATTTATTATGATTGGACTCGTGGTTGAATGACCTTCAAGATTTTGTGACTTTTATTGGATTTCGAGACATGGGCCCGGGGTCGCCTTTGAGTTGACTTTTCGACTTTTGATTAAGAATTTAATATTTTCTTATGGAATTGATTCCTTTAGCCCGTGTTGATTATATCGAATTGTTTATGGCTAGATTCGATGCATTCGGAGGCCGATTCGCGAGGCAAACACTTGTAGTAGAGTGATTCGAATTACTTGAGGTAAGTATTGTACGACCTGATCGGTCGTTTTGAGCTCTAGCGCGTCGTTTGGCAGTTTGAGGCCTTGAGTAGCTTCACTTCATGTTTGATGAGTTGTATGTGTGGCCGGAATTGAATTTTGGGAAGTTCTGCGTGGTTTCAGAAGGAAAATTCTCAATTCGGAAGCTTTAAGTTGGAAGAGTTGACTAAGATTTGACTTTTGAGTAAACGATCTCAGAATCAGGATTTGAAGGTTCCAGTAGGTTCGTATGAAGATTTTGGACTTGGGCGTATGTTCGGGTTGAGTATCGGGTCGCTCGGGAGCATTTCAGCGCATATTATGGAAGGTCGGCATTTTGGAAGTTTAAGAATTTCTTAAGTGTGATTTGAAGTGAATTTTGGTGTTATCGATGTCCGTTTGAGGTTCCAAGCTTTAGAATAGGTTCGTGTTGTGATTTATGACTTATGCATAAAATTTGGCGTCATTCTGAAATGTTTAAGTATAATTCGGACGCGTTCGGCTAAGTTTGAATGTTTGAAAGATTAAAGAAAGGTTTTGATCACCGATTCATAGTTTTGATATTGTTTAGCATGATTTGGAGGTTTTGACTAAGTCCGTATCGTGTTTTGGGATGTGTTGGTGTAACGACCCTGCCAGTCATTTTGAGTATTACAACTCTGTTCCCCCATTTACTGCTCAACTTATGCTTTACAGTTGTTATGTGACTCGCCGGGGGGCTTGGTTCGGCTCCGGTGAGGTTTTGGAATGAATTGGAACACTTAGTTCCAAGGTTTAAAGCTTAAAATAATGATCAGATATCGACTTATGTATAAATGACCCCGGAATAGAGTTTTGATGATTCTACTAGCTCCGTATGGTGATTTTGGACTTAGAAGCATGTCCGAAAAATTATTTAGAAGCCCAAAGTTAAATTAGGCTTAATATGGCTAAAATAGAAATTTAAGTTTGGAAGTATGACCAGTGAGTCGACTTTTTGATATCGGAGTCAGAATCTGATTCTGAAAATTGGAACAGGTCTGTTATGTCATTTATGACGTGTGTGCAAAATTTGAGGTCAATCGAACTTGAATTGATAGGTTTCGACATTGAATGTAGAAGTTGAAATTTTTTAGTTTCATTAAGCTTGAAATGGGGTATGATTCGTATTTTTAGCTTTATTTGATATGATTTGAGGCTTCAACTAAGTTAGTATAATGTTTTAGGACTTGTTGGTGTATTTGGTTGAGGTCACGGGGGCCTCAGGTGAGTTTCAGATGGTTAACGGATTGAAATTTGGACTTAAACAACTGCTGGAAATTTTGGTATTCTGGTGTAACCGCACCTGCGAAATTTAGCTCACAAGTGCGAGCTCTGAGAAGCGCACAACTAGAAATTCGCTATTTTTCGACTACCAAAATAGTCAGAAAAGTACCTATTCAACTACTTTCTGACTAATTTAGAGTAGTCGAAAAAAGGTAGGTCGGAAAAAAATTTCCGACTACAGTAGTCGAAAATATTTTTCCGCCAAAAATTTGAAAAGGGAGTTATTTCTAATTGAAGTAATCGAAAAATAAAATAAAAATTATTTATTTTAAAAAAATATTTTCGACTACTGTAGTCAGAATATTATATATATAATAATTATTTATTAGTTATTTTTATTTTATTTTCTGACCACAATAGTTAGAATGTTGAATTTCCTGAATATTTTCTGTAATTTTTTCGACTGCAATAGTCTGGAAATGCATTATTCTGGGCACATTTTTTGACTAATGTAGTCGGAAAATCATTATGTTGGGCACATGTTTCGACTACAGTAGTCGAAAAACTTGGTTGATTTTTGGTAGAATACTGCCCTTTAATTAGCACACCACCTGTCAAATGACCAATACTATAAACAACCAATTCAACCAACCAATTCCAACTAAGCAACCAACTCAACCAACCAATTCCAACTATACAACCAATTCCAACTAAACAACCTAATAATCAAACCAATCAATTCCAACTTCAACAAACAAACATTCAAATCCCATAATATCATACCAAAACATTACTTAAAGTCTAAATATTCAATATTAAGTCTAAGTAGCTAATACACATCGACACTAATATAATAAAGTCTAAACATATATGCCAAATCATCTAAATCTACCATAAAGTCTAAATATAAAATCTGAACATCCAAGAATAGTAATCAACCATAAACCACTACTACACATCAGATTCAGTCTCTTCATCATCATAAGAGTGAGGCATGTGCTTTTTCATGTATTTATCCACTCTAGCAATGTGAGCTTCGGCTGTTTCACACCGTTTCGACAACAACTTAATTTGCTTTCGCATTGCTTCCATTTCTTCCTGATTTTGGCAGTAGGAGCATCCGAAAATAATGACTATGGACGAAAATCATTTTGCGATTTTTCCTTAGCAATAAACCTCGCAACTCCTTCTATAAATTCCTTCCTCAACCCCGCACGATTAGGATGAGTCCTATTATACATCCATCTACGATGTTCAAATTCCATCCTACATCAAGAGAAAAAACTATTGAGATATTCTTCTAAAGGTTCCTACTTTGAATAATTATAATACCTTCAACAAAGTAAACAATGAAACTATTATTAAATATAAATTAATAGTTAACTCCTAGAATCAAAGTGAAACTAAAATTTTAAATTTACACAAAAGAAACCCAATCATTTAGTTATTAGCAAACAAGGGAACTTGAAGAATGAGGCAAGTCCTATGATTTATATAAAGATATATTTAAAGAAAAATATATAGATATACCTGTCGCAGCAAGGACGAAACCAAGAAACAAAAGTCGAAATGAGAGGATAAACCAGTAGTATAGCCTTTCTTTAATTATCAACCTTTGTACTCTTTCAGTCTTCTACAAAATCATGATGACTTGTATAAGTTAACGTAGAATAAAAATGGTTTGAACAAAAAAATTACAGTTCAAAAGAAAGATTAGCTGGTTGGCTTCTCTATGAGCATAGAGAAACTAAAATCTAAGATGTGACATTCTAAGAACTCTGAAGTGAACTATTAATGATTGATGAATCAGCTCTAAGATACTACCAACTTTAATGATGTTCAAAAGAAAACTGATGATATTCCCTGCTTTAAATGGTTTGACTGTGAACTACTTATTGAACAATAGTGAACAAAGTTCAATCGTTAGACACAGAGATTCTACAAGGAACATAAATAGTCAAAGAACTTTTTATTTTATAAAAGGAAAATTATATCAAAGCTACAAATATTTTTGTGTCTGTGAAGTTATATAATGATGTACGTGAATATTCAGAATGTAACAAAATAGTAATATTTTTGTTATGTGTTTAGTAATACAAAACATAAAGTGATTATGAGTGAATAATGAAAAGCATGATTGTTCAATGAGTGAATAGATTTATGCACTGCAACAATAAATGTTTCTCATTTTCTATAGTGTTGAATCAGATAAAAAGCAGGATTCTTCCTTTCCTCCAAAGGAGAAAAAAAGCCTCAACCAATAACATCAACAAACAAGGTTTGTTCTATGGTTATATTTACACACTTTGGTTTATGCGAAATTAAATTAACTCATCCCAATTATACAATATACCATCAGAATAAGAGATACTATTCTTGTTCCAATTTGTGTAACAAAATTTAACTTACATAAATAAAAAAAACTTTTGAAATATAACATAATATTTGCATGACTTAAGGGTAAAGTCACTAAAGATTCTATACTATTTCAAAAAAATAAGAAAAATATAAAAAATAAATTATAAAAAGTGTAAAGCAAATGTGAGATTAAATTAGTAGACATTCTAGAATGTCCTCCTCATGCACTCTCATATGTGATGCTTCATACAAACTTAGTAATCCTTGGACATCAATATATTAAGGGCTTCCTTGAAGCCTCCGTCATGATTAGTGAATTGCTTGAACACATATGGTTAAACATCATGTTCATATTTTGATAGAAATTAATTTAGTTAAAACCATAAATTATAAGTTGTTATTAAAAATATTACTATATAACTGCCAAAAGAACTTAAGCATTCTTACAATATATAACTGGTGTGTTTGAATGCTAAGAAACTTAAAGTTTGCCACATTAAAATTGGTGATAATTTTTCAGTACAAGGGCATAATTACAATTAGCAACCCATATGTGAATTCATTTAAGCAGTTGTCTGGCCGCTGCTGATAAATTCAGCTTTATTTCATAATCGAGCGAAGCCCTATATTAATGCGAGTGTAATTACACCCTTTTCTACTACATCGATGTTAAGATTTCTGCATTGCACCAACAATAAAACACACACACACAAACACACACAAAGAGAGAGAGAGAGAGAGAGAGAGAGAGAGAGAGAGAGAGAGAAACTGACGGAGAAAGATCTGGCACCTCAGTAGTCGTCCCCAGCGTTGGTCACAACCGCTGAAGCCACCGGTTGAAGAGAGGAGCGACAATAGGAGCGTGAGAGAGGAGAGAATGTGGGAAAGGAAAAGAGAATTAGAAAAAATAAGGGTTTCGACTAAGTTAGGCCCAAAATAACTTAAGTTATCCGACCACAATAGTAGCTAAATAATATCTTACTAAATTTCGACTATTGTAGTCGGAAAATGTATATTATTTAATTAATTTTTTATTAAATATTTTGATTATTGTAGTCGAAAACTATAAGGACCATGCGGTCAAAAGTGATTTGACTTTCCTATGTTATATTCCGACTACAGTAATCGGAAAATTATATGCGTAGAAGTTTTCGCGAAACTTTACAATAATAATAGTCAAAAACATAGTCAGCAAAATTCGAAAAATAAAAATAAATATAAATATGTATTTTCAGATTACTGTAGTCGGAAATTTACTACTCACATTTTGTAGTCGGAAATGGTAGTCTGAAAAAAGTTTTTTTCTAGTAGTGGCGTGCTTGGTTGCGCAGAAGCGGAGGCAAGGGGAGCTGGGCAAGACCGCGGCAGCGAACAACTCCTTCACAGAAGCGAGTCTGCAGAAGCGAAGCAGGCGCAGGAGCGGCAACATGTCTGCAAAAGCGGCAGCATGTCCTCAAAAGCGGGACCGCAGATGCAGTTAGTTTTTCCGTAGTAGCGGAACCCCTGGACAGATTACAAAATAGAGGGGTTCCGACATTTTTATCATTTTGGACATTTTCAACACGGTTTTTGGGCAATTTTCAGAGAGAATTCACGGAAAAACTTGAGGTAAGTCACTTGTGATCATTGTTAGTCAATAATATTGGATTATCATTGAGTATTTCGACTAAATTACGTGTTTTTGAGGTGAAATTAGAGGATTTGGGCTTAGGTATTTCAAAATAAGAATTTAAGATTTGGAGGTCGAGTTCATGTCGGAATTTGGTAAAATTGGTATGGTTGGACTCGTGGTTGAAAGGGCGTTCATATTTTGTCGGCTTCCGAGATGTGGGCCCCACATGCGATTTTTTTGTGCAATTTCGAATTTTGTTGGAAAATTAATATTTTTATATGGAATCAATTTCTATAATTTGTATTGACTGAATCGAATTATTTTTGACTAGATTCGAGGCGTTTAGAGATCGATTAATGAGGCAAAGGCATAGCAGAATAAAGAATTTTGCGGTTTGAGGTAAGTAACAGTTCTAAATCTAGTTCTGAGGGTATGAAACCCCGAATTTTGTGTTATGTGATCGATTTTTAGGTGACACACATTCTAGGTGCCGGACGTGTGGGCGTGCACCGTAGGATTGTGACTTGGTCAAATTTCATGAAACTGTGTAGTTGAATAATCTGTGGTTATCTGTACATTCTTCATGTAGTAGAGAAATTGAACCACAAATCATGTTTAGATTTCGTGTTGGCACTGTAGGGACCCACAAAGGTCGTGTACATTTTGAATTATCTGCTAAATTTTTATTTTGTACTCAGTCACAATTTACTTGTTTATTTTATAGCAGTCTCTATTGTTCATTATTGATGCATCATATCATTGTTGTTTTGGGGCTGATTATCATGATTATTGAGAGCCCGAGAGACTGGAGATATTTATGACCGAGTGAGACCGATGGCCTGATTATGAGATATTATATTATATCACGTGAGTTGTTCGTGCGGATCCTGATATTATACTATAGCACGTGAGTTGTCCGTGCAACACGTGAATTGTCTGTGCGGATCCAGATATTGATACTATAGCACGTGCGTTGTCCGTGCAGCATGCAAGTTGTTCGTGCAGATCCATATATTATACTATAGCACGTGAGTTATCCATGCAGATTATAGCACTTGGGGTGAAGAAGTCCTTCCGGAGTCTGTACACACCCCTACTGAGCGTAGGTACCTACTGAGTGTGAGTGCTGAGTGTTGAGTGAATGAAATGGCTGAGTGACTGTGGTCCTGAGAGGATGCATTTGAGTACCTACTGAGTGTGAGTGCTGAGTGTTGAGTGAATGAAATGGCTGAGTGACTGTGGTCCTGAGAGGATGCATTTGATTTCATTATTGTTGCACTTCAGCTGTCATATATCGCTGTTTTGAAAATTTCTAAGAGATATTATCTTATGTTTCAGTTGAACTTGACATGAAATTACTGTTTTGGCCTTAAATGTTGAATTTTGAAAGGATACTTACCTTATTATGGTGGAAATTACTGTAGTTGGATTCAGCTGTGAAGCTCGTCACTACTTTTAGTTCTTTATTTAGTATTGTTACTTGCTGAGTTGGTTGTACTCATACTATATTCTGCACCTCGTGTGCAGATTCAGGTGTTCCCGGACATAGTGAGTATTGATTTCTTCGCATAGTTGATTATCCGGAGATTCCGAGGTAGCTGCCGGTGTTTCGCAGACCTTGTCTCTCCTTCCTTATTTTCTTGATTACTGTATTTGGTCTCAAACTATTATAGACCATATTTTCCAGACTTGTGAGGTATAGATGCTCATGTACTCTGTGACACCCCGATAGTTGGGAATTACGCATTATGTTTTGGGTTTTCTATCCGGTTATGAGAACTTTTACTATTAAAACTACTTTAAATTCATTCTTGTTAAAAGTGCTGGAAATATTTGTGAGATATCGGCTTGCCTGGTACCACGTTAGGCGCCATCACGAAATTTTAGAATTTTGGGTCGTGACAGTTGGTATGTTTGGATGAGGTCCCGGGGGCCTCGGGTTTGAAACAGATTGAAATTAGATTGAAATTTGGATTTGATGGAATACTGAAGACTGCTGAAGTCTGGTGTCATCACACCTGCGGTGGGTTTGGTCACAGGTGTGGACACGCAGGTGCGGGGGAGGTCATCACAGAAGTGAAGAAGACTAGCCAGGGGAAGGGCTGCAAGTGCAGAGCTTAGGCGCGTAGATGCGCATCTGCAGAAGCAGAGAAGGCATCGAAGATGCGGAATTTGGGCCTTTTGTGGTGGATCGCAGGAGCGGTCAGTGCTCCGCAGAAGTGTGACCACAGGAGCGAATTTTTATCTGCAGAAGTGGACTTTCCTGGGCTCAGTGAGAACTGCACCTGCGATGGGAATTTCCGCAGGTACGGCTATTGGTCCGCTGGTGTGAAAGTCGTTGGGTAGTGGTGTTTTTAAATTGAGACTCAGTTATCAATTCTCTTATTTTTCTCTTGGGTGACCGAATTTGGGGAGCTATTTTGAAGAGGTTTTCTTCATGCAACACAAGGTAAGTAATTTTCCACTTGTTCTAAGTAAAATATATGGTTTATATATGGATCTAAGGATGAAAATTTATGGAAATTGTGAGATTTTGGTAGAAAACCTAGAATTTGGTATTTTTAGATTTTGACCATGAAATTGGACATGGAATTAGGATCAAATTATATATTTGAGTTCGTGGTGTTATGGGTAAAGTTTATCTTTGAAAATTTTCGAAATTCAGGTACGTGGGCCCGAGGGTTGACTTTGTTGACTTTTCGAGCGGAGTTCAGAATCATTATAAATTGTTAAATTATACATATTGGAGTATATTTTGATTGAATTGTGCATTCTTTGACTAGTTTCGGATTGTTGTCATTGAATTGAAGAGTTAAGAGTCATTGGAGTCGGTTATGGAACTTCGGAGCGAGGCAAGTCTCCCGTCTACCTTGTGAGGGGGAAACTACCCCCTAGGTGATGTAATTATTATGTGCTGCTAGTTGTGGGTGCTACGTACGCACGAGGTGACTAGAGTCCGTACGTAGCTAAAGCATGTTTATGTCCGGGTAGACTTAGGACTTTACTATGTAATATNTAAAGGTTATATTCACTTTGTGCTCATGTATTGTATTGTAAGCACGTGTCTCATAATTCGATGATTTCCTTCCTATCTTGTGGAGCGGGCCGAATGCCTCGGTAGTGTAATGGATACATCTATGGTTCTTGCCACTCGACCCTCGACAGTGTATATATTATTCTGGATCGGACCGTACGACCTCGGCATAATCATGCGTTATATCACTAGCATCCCAAATATTCACGAGATTTTTCTCCCACTGATGCCTGACATTTATTATGGTGTTCATTATCCGTTGGTTTATGGCACTTAATATATCTGAGTTGTTGAGATTAGGGGCGGGTAGAAAATTCGAAAAATCGAATTCCGAACCGAACCAAATTAATTTGGTATTTCGGTATTCTTCGGTATATATATTTTTGTATTTCGGTACGGTACTCGATATTGAAATTTTGATATTTCACTATACCGAAATATCGAAATACCGAAATATTTTAGTCCAAGTCCACCTATATTGGGAAGCATCTTCTTAGCTGCAGGGACTCAAAGTCTCAAATATTGTTGATTGAAGATTGTTTTGTCGATATTGTTGATTGAAGTGTTGAAGCCTTCTTAGTTAGGGACACGATTAGAACAACTAATTCGTGTTGTTGTTGTTGTTGCCTACGCTCATTCTTCAAATTTTTCAAACAAGTATTCATAAGTCTAAGGGCTTCCTGAAGAGCAGCATTTAAAACGGTAGGCGCATGCAAATCATCAGCAAGTTTTGTCTCCAACTCATTACGCAGCTTCTTGATGCATTTCTCGGCCTCACAGTTTTTGTCATTTTTAACTTTTGTTGAAGCCTTCTTACATGCAATGTTGAAAACTTTTTCAGTGAAATATTGGTGACTTGGTGTTGAGTCGGTTGACTGTTGAAACTTAAAAACGTTTTTAGCAATTTAGTTTATTAACGTTTTATACTAATGCAAAATTCATTTTAGTCTAGTTTGATTGGATACCGAAATCGTACCGAACCAAATAAGAAATATCGAACTATACCGAACTACTTTGGTACGGTATTTGGTATGCATAATTGATTTATCGAATATCGAAGTACTGAACCGTAGTTCTTAATACCGTACCGAAGTACCGAATGCCCACCCCTAATTGAGATAGAACACGAGACTGAGAAATTCATCTCCTTAAAGGAAACTTTTGGAAGATTATGTAACTTACAATTTTATCCCATTATTGTTGTTGTGCTTCATATCTGCTTATGATTTATCATATTGCTTTATTGGACTTCTAGTAAGTGTCGATGTCGATCCCT